TATCGGCGTGTCAATCCAAGTTTAAAAATAATGGCGGAGAGGGCTCTCCTTAACCTAGTTATTATAATAATATTATTATTATTATTATTATTATTATTATTATTATATCATTAATGCTTATTGCACGGCAACGACTTTTGTTCAAATATATTTCAAATATAACGGGTTTTAATAGCAAAGGCACAGTTCGAACATCGCCACTTAAATCACAATAGTAGTTTCAACGCGACGTGTTTAAGTATGGTTCCCAAAGCCGACGTAAACAACGCATGAAAAATGCCTTGTTTGTTCATACAAAAGTGTGACGACTGTGATTTATTGCTCTTAAATTTCTACGTAAAGCGAATCCCATGAACGTTTAAGTCTGGTACGTATCTAGATATAAAGGTATTGTATAACAATATTAATTTATTTAAAGACAGTATATACAAAATAACGAGAGCAGAAAAACACAATATCGATGATTTATTGGGCTGTATGTGAGTAGAAGCATTGATCGAGTAATGGTAAACCACGCATGCGCATTCGTTATGTAACGGGACATACTCGGGGAAATCCCTTTCTGTTGACAGCGAATAATGTGTATACTGCTACTTTGAAAACAAAGAAAACTGCAGACTTTTCATTTTTGCTTGAAATCATTGAAAGTATTTTTTTTTTTTATAACAGAAAATTTAATTCTGGAGGTTTTTATATCGTGTACTGGGTAATTATTTGAATATATTCAATGTGTTTAATGTTAGTGACCGAGAAAGACTCAAGAAGACAATTTTAAGATAAAAAGGAATTTCCCCACTTTAAAAAAAAAACTTATACAGCGAATATATAAAAAAACATATGCATTGTGACCAATACTCAGCGTGTTATATACTTGGGAATTTGCTAGACGAGGGCGACAGTAATAATTACGTCTGGCTATGGTGACGTCTACATAGTTACAACACTGAATTTACATAGTAGTCAGGGATAGTGGTGAAATACGTGGTGATCACGTGACTTCGTTGACGACAAAGATGGCTTCGACTCCACTGCATCGCCCAATTGTTCTGGATGTTCTTGCAATATATTGCATTCTGACCATGAATTTGCCCGCTGCAGAAACTGTGTGTCAGTCCAACATTTACTTACTCGACAACGAATACCATAATATTGTTATTGGCATAGAAGAAAACGTCGCCGAGGATACGGATCTAATTGACAGAATACGGAAAATATTCACCGAAGCGTCCGCTGATCTGTACGAAGCAACAAAGTAAATCATTTTCCTATTATAAATGCATTGAATCAAAAAATAATTGTGTCATTTCGGTACATGACAGCTTTGCATTCATCATCGACACATAGCGTGGTTTCAGGCGACGTTACAAGCAGTTTTTGATGGCATATACGCCAGGTAGCCATGCAAACGATTTTAGTCTTTCTATTGTATTCAATAGTGCTTTTTTGTTTTTTATATGCTCGCTTTTCGTGGAGTTCCATGTCATTGGGGTCGTGGCTCTATCAATTAAATAGAGAGGTTCAACTCGTAGTAGTTTATGATTATGATATACTATACTGCAGTTAAAAAAACAACGCCGTAGACGGATATTATTCCACCATTCATTCTTATCGTGTCTTTGGTGTTTGCATAATGTGATCTGGAAAACCTTCCGTTGACTCGGAAAAATAGGCTGTGCCAAAAGGTTTGACACCACAATTTCACAATGACGATGCACAGATTTTGAATAGTACGTAGACAGGTGTAAACAAATGATATTCGAACAAAATCATATATCTAACTGCGTGCATATTGTAAATATGCCTTCTTCAGTTACAAATCATCGAGTTTTACATGGAGGTGAAATTACAGAATATAAAAACAAATATGTGATAAACGCAGTTTATAAATGTAGTTTTGAAACCCACTTTAAACTTTAGAGAAACTCCTATGATCTACAAGATATTTTTTTTTTCATTTATCTCCGACTGTTCTTTTTCTCCGATTATGAACAAAAAAATGGGCTCTCTAGTGACAGAGCGCTTTTATGGCGTAAATGGGTGATGTTGGAAGGCCATT